AGATCACGCTCAGAGCAGCAGGAAAACAAGAAGCAACAGTTTCACTCTGTGGTTCTGCGTAATGTTTGTGTTTGCAAATCCCGCTTCAAGAAGACGAGATGAGCCAAGACAGCTTGCACAAAGTAACATCGAGCGCTTCTCTAGAAAAATAAAGGGGATAGAAATTCAATTTTATTGCTACAAGAACAATTGCACTGGTTGGATTGAAAGCCGAAGGCTGCTTCAAAACAAGCAAATGAGACCTGACTAAAAATAGAAAATAAACAAAATATTTGTGTAGTTTTCTGTCAGACTTGAAAGTATAGCAAAAGCACACAAAAGGGTCACACCATCCGTTTGAACAAATGTTTCCTATCAGATCCTCTTAATTTAGAACAAAATCAGGAAAAAGGGGAGGCAGAGCTGCTACACTTTTCCAGTTGTCAAGAAATGGCTTCCCTCGATTTGAATGCAGCCTGTGAATGACTTCACTGAAGAAATAAGAGTCATAATTTGTGATTTTCAAGCAATCCAATTAAAAAAAACAAAAATCTTATTTTTAATAATTTTCTGAATAAGGTGAAAGTTTTGCAGGGAATGCCATTTACTTGCCATGGTCCAAGTGGGAGCCTGTGATGTGAAATCTCAAAAGATAATGTTATATTTATCTTAGTTTCTGAGTTATCAATTTTGAATATTGTTTTGTGATGATAATAAACAGCTTCTGAGTGGATCTGGATTGATTTGTTTCATGCGATGCCCAGCTTGGAGGTTTGAGATACATCAGGAGTATCAGTGAAGACGTCTAAATATAATTTAAAATGTGTCAAGACGTAGAAAAAAAATGCTCACAGGTGTCCTGAAAACTGTATCTTTCTCCTTGCACTTCAGTTATGGATCAAATGTTAAAGTTCAGTCCTATGAGGGCAGTAGATCTGCAATATTTAGACAAAACTCAGATTCTAGACACTTGAATCAAATAATTAGGTCATTATAGAAACTCTGTGGAACTTTACTGCATGCTGAGGAGGCGTTTCATCCATTTGCACACGACACTACACTAGATGACTGAACCCCAGCACCTCTCATCTAGCACATAAAACCTTCAATAAAATATAAAATAGTAATAAAATTAGTTTGCAAAGCACTGAATTTATATGCATTGCCCACTTTGTGATAAATAAAACAAGACAAACAACTGTGTTCTTGGTACAGTACATCAGCATTTATTCCATGCAGTTTGTTTGCTTTGATTTTATTCTCCTATTGCACTGTACACTGAATAATACAGGAAAATGACAGGATTGGTTGATCATAATGCCATTCAACAGGAAAGAGGGTCGCAAATGAGAGAAAAAAAAAAGTGTATGCGCTTAACAGAATCAGGCAACAATTTCACAGAAATTCAAATGGAAGTATTTTAGTTTATGATTACAAATGCGAAGAAGGAATCACTGCAGAAATAGAGACATAATTGGCTCCTTAAATGTTCCCTCGGGCTCGACTATCCTACTGTGATTCCTAACAGCCTAGGGGAAGATGGAAAAAGCTGCAGGAACACTTAATTCTACTTGATTCTGCAAACTACTTATTCAACACTTTAAACTGCAATGGTGAATCTAAACGATGAGTGGTCCCTCTGCAGGATCAAACAGTGATATGGTAACGCTTTTGTTCAACCACACAAATGCTGCACTCTTCCCCACACCCATTCATTGTGCTTCCTTCAAAAGGAGAACCTGTTGGTCATGAGATTTCTGAAGCTGCCTCAAATTAAAAAGGAATTCTACTCCTGGTGACTCATTTCAAATAAATTAATTCAATAATTATGTAGGCCAGCTACAAAAAGGATAGAGAGAGAAAAACAACAACAACTCAACAATAAAAAGATCAAAATTAAATTAAAAGTTCACAACAATCATTCTTCACAGGATGGACGCCAGAGAAGACAAGTGTTATTATCAGCTTGATCAGATTATACGAGGTTACTTCACGTGTACGTAAACAGAAGAGAAGAAGGTAGATGGAGCCTTTTCAAAGCTCTCGAGCACGTTGAATCAAGATTCACCTTCCTGTCGTAGTGTTCAATACTGATATAAGGATGACCTCCTCTTCCTGTCCGGCCGCTCGGCAGACACATGAACGAAAGAGGATGAAAAACAGATCACATCGCATTTACATTTGTTTATGTACAGGATTAACACTGAGATATATGGTTGGTGAAAACCAAGAGCAGCTTAAAGCTCCGTGGCCTCGTCTCTGGCTTGTGTTCCTTACGCAGATTCACAACCGTCTGCACACACGTCTCAGCTGACATCATTAGCGTTCAGTACCACCCTGATTGATGGGATCATTACAAATGTGGATGCCAGACGAGGAACCAAAAGCAAAAATTAATGTCTTCATAAATGCAGTATCTCTTTTTTGTTTTGTTTTGTATTTAAGATGATTGGGTGAAAAAAAAAAGTTGGATTGCTGGGATTGAGAGATTGGTGTGGGAGATTCACAGAAGAAAGGCAAAAATCAAATGTCGCCATCTAGTGGCATCTGATATATTGCTGTCATTCAACACAAATCCTGAGCATCAAACCTCAAAAAGGCAAGTTGGGCGGAAAATAAGAGACGGGGATAAATTAAAAAATATATCTATTTACTGCTCTACTCTAACTCCTATTAACCGTGGTTACATCCAGCCTGCTGGATGAACCCCCTCTCCTATTTATCACCTGAGAACTACCCTGCTGTTTGTTATTGCTGTTGAGCTAACAGACAATATTTACAAGTGCATCTCAATAAATTCAAATATCACAAAAAGTTCATTTACTTTAGTCATTCAATTTAAAAAAGTTAAACTCATTATATAGATTAATTGCAAATGGATTCATATTTTACAGAGTTTCTTCAAGTTTCAGTAAATTCAATCTCAAACTTAAAAGGTTAAGTTTAAATCTTTTATTTTTTTGGATCAAATATGGTTTAAGAGCAACATGACTTACAAAGAAAAACATACTAAATGAATCCCTGATATGCTCAATAACCTACATTTAGCTTATATTCTGCATTTTCTTTTTTTGTCTTTTCCATATGTTTTTATGAATTTTGTGTTTAGGTTACCTACTTTTAATACCTTTTATAAAGTAAGTCTCATAGTATTTATCCTTATAAGGTAAATATCTGAAATCCAGCCACCTTGTCAAATATACACATTTCCTTTAAAAATTAGCTGAAATAAATAAGGTTAAAAGAGTGTGATTTTCACAACTATAATCCAGCTTCACAAGCAGAAGTATTTTATGGGATTATAGGCTGACTACATATTAAGAACTTCAAAATATGGGACAAATGATTACTACCACAACATAAAACAAACAAACAAACAAAAAAAAAAAAAATCAGAGGAAGAAGCAGATAAGAGTACATTTAAAATATAAATAACATTTAAGACTCATGTTTTTAAAACTTAAAACTGAAATTATTTTACAAACTTTAATGACTACAGAGACTCGAGCCTTTATTTCTGTTTTCCACTTAAGGCTGTGCCATATGTGATTATCACATATTTTTAGCATACTTTTTTCTCTTTTTAGCATAATATTCTCTTTTTGTTTTGCTGAGTTAAAGGAGTCTGGGAATAGGCATCTTCTTTTGTGGAATCCTAGCTTGTGCAGCTTGTGGAATGACAGTTTTATGAGAAATACTATTTTTCTACAAACTGGTATGATGACATTTAAGAGACTTTTTCATAAACATTCCAATTATTAAACTAAACAGGTCATTTTGTTTGCAAATTTTGACTGTGCCTAAATTAAAATATGAATTTGACTTGATTGAGTGAAAAAAAAAACAATTTCATCATATTCTTATTTATAGAAATGCACTTGTATCATCATGGATAAACAAATAAAAATCTCCGCAAGAAAATGATGAATGAGGTGCTCTGTCACTTTCCAGGAAAATCTAACCCAAGAGGTGCTCTGTCACTTTCCAGGAAAATCTAACCCAAGACAAAAAGAGATACTGCATTTAGTCTGCAGCAACAGAAACACTGACACTAAAGGGTTGAACGTCCAAGGCTTCTCTGTAAGAGCTTTGTTTTGTTTTTAAATGCCTCCCCGGTCCTTTATATTGACATGTGCCAGTCGAAGAACATTCTTTCACACGATAGTTGGTCCGATCCAGTTTCACAGTCCTCGAGTGATCCTGAGATGAGACTTGAAACTGCAATGTCTGATGGTTGAGGAAGGGAAGCTTACGAGAACCAACACACACCGTCCTCAAAAGTTCCCGTCGTGACGCCTGATTGCTTATGACGTGTCTCAGAGAGAAGGATGAGCGCGTCCTTTATTTTGTATGTTTTTGGCTCTTGGATGAGTCGTCCTCTCTGCTGACCGCTTGTCTGCTTTATGCAGTCCTTGTAAAGCTTTTTTCCTCTTGAGAGCATGCTCTGAAAGCTATGTAGTGATCCTGACAATGAGACAAGTCTAGAGGTGTTTTTTTTTTTTTTCCCCTTCACGGGAGTTTCCATTTGCAATTTGCAAGGCGAGTTGTTCATGCTGGTGTTGACACTGTCTCCATGAGCTCATTGTTTACCTGTGTTGGCCACAGTTCTGACAAGGAAGTGAAAGGATGCGGGATACCGGGTCGCTGCGCTGTAAACTAACAACAAGGAGATAGCTTTTTTCTGTTTTCTGTGAGGTTTTACCAACACAGAGATGCTCAGAGCAACTGTAGCAAGATGTAGGCCTGTAGTGATGCTCAGACACATCAGAGCTTCAACATTTCCTCCCTCTCCTATCCTCTGCACTTCATCAGTCTCAGTCTCAAAATGACAGTTTTTATTTCCTCTGTTCAGAGAATCCTGAATTTCTCTTCAAAGACAAAAATAAATTAAGAATGCTATCCTATCTACTGTACATTATGAATCAAAAGGGAATCCCTGCCATGAGTTTGCCTGGATGCAGTGCTAGACGACGGGAGGTGGAGGTGGGATGAGGCTGAGGATGAGGGGAGATTATGCAGGACTTTGCTGTAGGGAGAGTTTTGTTCTCTATGATGTCCTCTTATTGCTGTGTTTTCTGCAGAGCCCTCTAATATGAACGTGATGGCCACCAGGCAAAGAAAAATAAACAAACGGATTCAACACCCTGTGGAGAGGTTCACCACGATGACGGAGCACCGACTTTGTTGTTTCTGATGGTGGTATCGGAGCACTCTGCTTCTGACGAATCACAGTCTGAGTCTGCAAACTGCAGCGGATTCTGGAGGCAAAATGAGAGAAAAAACTTGAGCAAAGATCTGGAAGCTTTAAAAATCACTTCACATCTTTCTGGCTTTTCTTTAAGTTTGTAATAATGAAGCATACGCTGGCTATAAAATCAACTGCTAGTGGTCATATAAGCCAAAAGTCATATAGATTTTTGTGACAATTTGCTGTTTACTGTCATTAAATGAAATATAATTAGTTTTTGTTCAAGCCAAATAAAATGTGGCTGCTAATTTCAATTTAGGGCCAAAAAATAAGCCTTGCACAATAAGCTTGTTTTATTTTATGATTAGTTGCATCAAAAAATAAACTTTGCTAAATAATATCCATTTTCCTGCTTATTTGTGTAGTTTTATTTAGTCATTAAGGAGATGATGTCTTTTAAAATGATTGAAAATTTTATTCCTGAAAAGGCAGCCTGCTGAAAAGTGCAAAGCAGTTAGTATATGCCTCTTTTTTTTTCTCTCTGCCTTCCTGGCACTTTTGCTCATTTTCCCTGTCTGAGTCTAATGAATAATAGTTCATGAAGGACAATTTTGTTTACAGAAACCTCATGATCTATTACATTCATTGTTTTAGTTTTCTTACTTATTTAAAATGTGTTCCAGTTCCACAGTTAGGTGTTCTTTAGAAATGAAAGTTTATTGATCTTTGAGAGGATGTACTTGCATTATTATGCACTTATAAATCTGTATACTTTTCCCACAGTACAATAGCTGCGTGCTGCCTACACCTTTAAGTCAAAAGCCAAATCTGACCTCATAGCTGTGTTCGTCCGAGCACAGCTTTCCCAGCGAGATCTGCGTCTTCACCCTGCGGACGGCGCACTCCTTGTCGGAGAGGCCGTCGGACTGGGTGGAGATGTCGATGGGGATGTCGGGCGTGTGCGACAGCAGCTCGTCCAGGTGCTCCTCCTGGCTGGCGCTCAGGGGTCCGCTGTGCGAGTGGTCGCTCGTGTTGCCCTCCTCCCCGTCCGACACCGACAGGTTCTCCGAGCTGAAGGTGGAGTAGGACTGGAAGCTGCTCATACAGCGATGGGGTCTGGTAGGAGTCAAGGGAAATATTCCAGAGTGATTTGTGGTCTTTAATAATTAGGCTTCATTTTGATTACGCTGTGCAAAAGGGTCTTTTGTTTCAGTTGTTAATGGATTCATTCAGCAGGATTACGACACGTAAAAGTCAGTTTGCAAAGTATTTTACCTTTGTCGCCGTGGAAACTCCACTTCACTGTCCACCTCTCCCTCCTCCTCTTCAGATGACTCATCACCACCCTGAAAAGTGCAGCAGCAATGGCCGTTGATATACAGACACTCACCATACACACACAATGTCTTCCAGTATTCACTCCTGCAGAGTATTTTAACATTAATACCTCAAACTTTGTTTAGTGTGTTTTTATTTACACTGCTTTTAAATTACTTTCACCCCACAAGCACAGTTCTGGATGTTGTGGATTTCATTGGGATTTTATGAGAAAGATGAACACAAATAATTACATCATAGTGAGTTTTTTGAAATATGCAAGTCCCTACCAGATCTACACAGAAAATGTTGAGCCCATTCCTCTGCAAAATAGCTCAAACACAGTCAGATTTGCACAGCATCTGTGAATATTAATTTTTAGATTTCTTAGTTGGACTGCAGAGTAGACTTGGACTAGACCATTCTTAACATTGAATATGCTGTGATCTAAATCATTCCACTGATGCACTGTCTGTGTATTTGGGATTAACACCCTGTTGAAAGGTGACCTTTCAACCTGGTCCTAAATCTCTTCAGATGTGAGTCTCCTATTATTGCCCTGTATTTACATAAAGAAACAACCCCACAGCATGATGCTGACATCACCGTGTATTACTAAAGTGACGCACAGTGTTTCCACCACACATCACATCACAAATACAGTCCAAAAGAAACACCTACCTAGTGGTCTTTAAGAGTTGTTCAAAGTTTGGGAAATTGTTTTAATGTCTCCACAACTTTATTTCTGACTGGTCTGATGTGTTTCTTGGGCTTCATGCTGCTGTTTTTGTTCATTAATGTTTCCCAACAAATCATCTGAATTTAGATTGAAATCAAAAGTTTGACTCTGTTTCCCAAATAAATAGCATCTGACGGCAGCTGGAAACGTTGCATTTAATTTGGGGCTGTCAGAGTAAAGCGTGTTCAATACAGATGGAGGCGACACTTCAATTTTTATTCATTAAAAGAAAACTGAAAAACCTTTACTTTCATTCTACTTTGCAACAACTCACTACTATTGTTGGCCTATCACATAAAATCCCAGTAAAATATGATGAAGTTTGTAATTGTAATGTAACAAAATGTGAATAAAGTCCAAGGTGTGTGAATGTTTGTGTAGTAATTCATGGCTGTTCACCTTTCTGAGGGGTCTGAGGGTGCGGGGCAGTGCAGAGGGTAGCAGGTGTTTGGACTGGGATGGATCCTGCGCCTGCGGGGCAGCGAGGTTGCCGTCCTCTGCGTTTAAAGCTGCTTCTTTATTGGGTGGCGCCAGGGAAGACTGGTTGCTTTCCTGGGTGCTAAGCAGTGAGTAGTGCGGTAATTCTGGTTGGCTTAGAGTGGGCGGAGTCTCCTGACAGTGCAAGCAGCCGGGCACAGGGTGAGCCTGGCAGCAGGGACATAACAGCACAGCGCCGGCCCCTGGTATTGGGTTGGAGCTGGTGGATGAAGTCCGCTGCCGTGTGTCTGCATCCACGGCTGTGGAAATGAGGTCAGGACTGGAGTCAGAGACGCGGCGCTGGAGGTGGTCGGTCTGAGGGCTGCGGAGGGCGGCGGCGGGGCCGAAGTAGCGCAGATTGTTGGCACAGTTAACTACAGCCTCCTCGCGGCCTTTCAGGGGAAGAAACTGACCCTCAGCTGGTGGGTGGTGGTGATGATGATGATGATGGTGGTGGTGGAAAGGCTGCTCCTGCAGAGACTGGGTGTCTTCTGGGGCTCCAGCGACAGGCTTCAAGGCGCCAGGGAACTCGCTGTGGCTGCCTTTGCTGTTGGCGCGGCGATGGCGAGGCTTGCTGCGGTAGCGCGTTTTCCCGGGAGGCGTCGAGACTTTGGGGCTGGCCGACAGAGGCGAAGGTGATGGGAGAGGATCGGCGCTGGGGATGCCGTCAGAGCGCAGCAGGTCCGGCCTACAAGAAAGGCATTCAGCAACAATGCATTCAGTCTAGAGGTGTTTTACAGAACTCTAGAATATCGTTTTGCACTGGTGCAAGTAACCGTTGTTTCGGCGCATCAACACAAAGGTTAGATGTACCCACGTTAAACACAGCAATTTTACAGGTTCAACTTATTTTAAGTCTCTGCCCGTTAAGGTAACATTGATTTGTAAATCCTTAATTAACATTCAAGTAAAAAGCTTCCGTAAAAGTGTCCAAAGTGCTTCAATGAGCTGAATTTTAAACTTTAAACGTTTCAAAATAAATAAAAATTAATCCAAGTGCTAAACATCTTATGAAGGTTCAATTTTCTTCCGAGTAATTATCTCAGACTTAAAGTTAGTGAAGGGAAGTTCTTCTTCTTCAGTACTGAAGGCAAATTGATCATCATCTCAGCCTCGTCTGATGACTTATTTGCTGCTGAAAGGTAGCAGTGGGAGGAGTCACCTCCACGTATTTATCATGACTTTGTGCTTCTTCATTGTTTATATTAATTTCCTATCAGAAGCAAAGTTCCTTTAATGCCAATAATTTTAATGAGGACGTTAAAATACTGATGAAGGGACTGTGTAAGGTTGGAAAATGAATGCTTTCTTACTTTTTCCCCCTGATGAAAGCAAATTAAAAGTATTAAACTGAAAGTTTATGCCTCTTGTTTTCACAGACTACAATGGAATGACACAGGGGAAATACACTTAATATCCTTTTAGCGCGAAAGTGTAAAAACTCAGAGGGGAAAGGACGGCTAGAAAAGAAAATTTGCTGGTTTTGCCTTCAATTAAACTTATGAGAATTTTCTAGGTGAATATTTTTTCCAATAGTTTCATATTTGACATGGAAGAAAACAAATGTAAAATAAGTTCTCCACCAGTTTATGCTTGCATTCATTTCAAGATGAAATAAAACAGAACTAAAATCTGAGACCTTTTGGTGGGTGGCATTCCAGGTTTGTGTGAGATGCTTCCTTTTTTCTTGATGAGCTTCTCGACGGCGTTGGATCTAACGATGGGCCGGACCAGGTGGCGTTTGTAGCTACCTGGATATTTCTTCTCCACTGCTTGCTCCCTCCTACAGAGACAGCAAATGTTTGGTTTGGTTTCACAATATGGGATGTAAAGACAAAAACACCATGAGGCAGAAAACTTCATCCAGGAATAAAAATCTTGAATCTACAGAGCAATATGAACTATTTATTGCTGGAGTATCACCCAGTAAAGGTCCATTGTAAGGAAATGACACCAAAGTGAAATAATGCCTTGTATTTCTACATACTTCATGAGCTCCTTCTCTCGGACCTCCAGCTGCAGCATGATGGCACTGAGCTCCATGTAGAGGTTGTTAGCTCTCTCAAGCTTTCTCTCATAGTGCTCCCGGATGTCCAGAGCATGCCTAAAAGAAAATGAAAAAATAAATAAAATCAGCATTATGTCTTCCACCCGCTGTCCTGTTAACAAAAACCATCATAAATTATTTGGTAAACAGACCTGAGTTCATCCCTCCTGCGACGGATCAGCTCCTCGTCCAGCCTGTGAATGCAAGTGCCTTCACTTTTGATCTTCTCAAAGTGCTTCTTCACCTCCTCCCTCCACTCTGCCTGTAGCATAAATGGACAGTTTAGAAAACCTGCATGCAAAACTGCAGCTGTGAATTCAAAGTGTTTTATTGAGATTTTATGTGTTTAAACACAAAGTAATTCAGAATTGTGAAGTGAAGTGAAAACAAGAATATGTAGTTTTCAAAATAACTACATATTTGCAGTTATTTTTAAAATAAGAACTACTTATTCAGTACAGTGGCTGTAGTGAATCTTGCCCCTAACACAATTCAGTACAACCACTTGTCTTCAAGGATTTAATGTGCAAAGCAATTGAGAAATAAATCATACTGGAGAGAAAAAGTGTAACTATGCATCATTGTCTTTCCACTTCACAATCCCATGTTACTGTGTGATGTTTTTTCCTATAAAATCCCAAGGAAAGACAAAGAAAAGAGAAAAAACCTGAAAAAGTATAAAAACAATTTTGAAGGCCCTATGCTGCGAGAAGAGAAATTTGAGTTATGTGGGCATTTTGTCTGAAATCCAAACCTGAGACTTGAAGTAGGTCTCCTGAGGAGTTCCTAAAACATCAGCAGAGGCAATGTCGAGATGGAGGAGGATCTGACGAAATGAAGGCCTATTCCTGGGCTTGCCTTGCCTGGAATGAAGCAAAACAGTAAAGGAATCAAGATTGATCTCAAAGTAAATGCAGAGCAGTTGTCACAGCATCGGGTCCAAATTTACCATGTTTGTTTCATGAGGATTTTAAAACCGTCTGGGCAGGTGGAGGGGACAGGAAGGTGTAAGCTGTTGCTGCCAACACCAAATGATGGCGGACGAGTCCACATCTTTGTAGGGAATTTCTCCTGTGAGCAATTCCCATAACACAACTCCAAAAGACCTGAAAAACACAAAGTAACACAAACTCCAGTCTCAATGTACCATAGACAGCTCCAACATCAGATTTTCATCTCTAAATTAGAGGCAAAAAAAGCTTTTTATTCAATATCTTTAATAGAATGTGGATCAATTTAGAATCGGGTGTGTTAATACTCACCAGATGTCGACTTTTTCAGACACAGGCTCATTTCTTATGACTTCTGGGGCCATCCAGGCCACCGTACCCGCAAATGACATCTTCGTACTTTTATCGCTGAGCTCTTTGGATGTTCCGAAGTCAGAAATTTTCACAGTGTCGTTGTGTGTGACCAAAACACTGAAATACAGAGAGAAGAGAGTTACAAAATGAGCTGATTTTCTATAAACTATTCACTTTAACAATTAAGCTTCTTCGCTGATATGCCACTAAATTTAAAGAGCATCATCTTGTTTTTTTTTTCTTCTGTAGCATACTCAACTGTTTTTCAGAAAAGTGTTTCTGAATCATCCCATTAGCTAAATGAGACTGACCTTTTACAGTGCTTTCAGCCAGCTATCATTCTGCTGACTAATACAGGGTTTGCTGCTGCAGCATGATGATATTGATTAGAAAGACAGAGCTACAGACACGACTGCAGAGGATGAGGCAGAGAAGGAGGAGGAGAAGCAGAGGAGCTTGCTTTTATTAACCAAAACATTTGAGCAAATGTCACTCTGTAAAGAGCTGGAGGGATGAGTTGCTGCTGCTACATTTATCCAAAATGTCTCACAAGGTAATAAAGTGGTTTGAATTTTTTTTTAATATAAAATCCACTCAGGACCAATGCAAAACTTATCTATGGATTTATATAGCAGTTTAGCTTTAAATGTGGAAGCCATGGATGGATGGACAGTTAGAAAGTTAGACTGACAGAAAGGTAAATTTATGGACAGATAGATGTAGAAAGGAACTAAATGGATGGATGTAAATGCAGACAGACAGAAAGATGGATGTCTGGATGGATGTAAAGCCGAACTGACCTGAAGAGGGATGTGTGGATAGAGAGACAGAAAGACGGATGGACATTCAACCATTTTCTATACTTTATTTTTTTTCTTGATCTTCAAATAACAAAAAACAAAATGTTCTTCTTTTTGTGGGAATCCTGTACTTTGCTTAAGAAAAGTTTTAAAGCCTCTCGTGTGACACTAGCAGTAAACCAGCAGCTCACTTGGGAGACTTGAGGTCCCTGTGGATGATCTTGTGAAGGTGTAGGTAGTTCATGCCGCCCGCGATCCCTGTGGCCCAGTCTACCAGCAGCCTTGGGGTGACCTTCCTCCCAGCCCTCAGCACCTCATACAGCTGGCCCTGGGCGCAGTACTCCATAATGATGCAGTAGCAGGGCGCCTGAGTACACACCCCTCTGACATTCACAAAGCAGGAAACATGTTTCAAAACCAGGATAAGGTAACTAGTAAGAAGTTTTTTGAGTTTTGACCTTACTTGAAGCTGATGATGTTGGGGTGCTTGAGCTTCCGCAGGTGCTTAATGTCCGTCTCTTTCTGCTCGCGCACCTTCTTGATGGCCACCTCCTCAGAGCGAAACTTGCCCAGGAAGACAGCGCCCTGTGCACCGCTGCCCAGCCACTGCAGCTCGGATATCTCTTCAAACGGGACCTCCCACATGTCTGCAATCAGGTTAATTACATTTCATCCTTCCGACACCTGTACTTTGTTACATTGTCCTGTGAGATGACCAACGTATTTATATTAATCTTACATAAGATGCACAGAAAGGATTCTGTCAGGTTAGCTGGTAGAAGGAAATATCTGCAATCTACTTAAGCATGTAAATAGAGATATTTTTTAGAACTTTGAAGTATAATAAACTATATTCAAACTTGTTTTTAAGTTTAAACTTTCAGATTTCTTAGGTGTTTTTTCCACTTGATATTCCGGTAGACATAATTAAATTACAACATTTGTTACATTTTCTCCTGGTGCTGTTCACTTTCAGACAACAGTGTAAAACAAACCAAAGCCTTTGAACAACCAGTTCACCCCCTAACCTTTGGTGATGCTGCACCAAGAATCTCGAAAGGAATTGATACAAAAACACTAAAGAGCGCAACATCCTTCTTCACAAAACGCAAACAAAAATAGTATGACATCAGATTTTATTGGCTGTAAGATTTCTCTTTAGCAAAAGACCCACAAGGCATTTCTCCTGCTAGTGCTAGACTCACACGTTTGCTTTGGTTGTATTTCCCCAGAATACCTAGCACTGTAGTACGCTTCCTGCTTTTAGAGCGGTCTCTGGTCTGCTTAGTATTCACATATGCTTTAGAGCCGCGCCGGAGTTGACTTCAACCAAGCCGAGATCTCAGGCAGACCAGAGATTGCTTTTCTGATCCACATCAAAATATAATAACACATTCACATCTCCCCAAATGAACTGTACTTTCTAGCTAAACTAGAGCTGGATTAAAATGGACTAAACAGGGATGGTATGGATGCATTATTAGAGACAAACCACAAAGGTCTGGAAGTATAGTAGATCTAAAATGTCTATACTGCCCAGCTAAAATGCAAGGTGTAATGACATAAATAAATCAGACCATTATAAATGACATTTTCACAAACTGGGACCACTTCTGTGCAGCATAAGTAACTTATACATGCAGATGAAAACAGCACAATGAACTATAAATGACATTCAGGGAGTCAGATGCTGCTCTCTCCCTGTTTTGTGAAGCTTTATTATCAGTGATGATGAGGAGAAGTTATGCTGCCTTACTTTTCATCTGAACAATGTAAAGCTTCAGCTCATTTGTGCCTAACCTCAACGCATATCCTTCAGCCAGCGCATCCAGCCTCCACAGCGAGCCCTGCAGCAAGGTGAGCCTACCTTTACCCATGACCTTAATTCTAACTGACAGCAGCACAGCCACTCAGCAGCCTCACACTAAAGGTGGGGACAGATATTCAGTTACGCTTTTGGTAGTACAACACATAACCGTTTGATTGTTTCTCAGAAGAGTTAGAGACAGAAGCCTTTTAATTAAACAGAGAGGGTTTAGTTTGTTAAACCGGACACCATGCAGGGAGATGAAACCAAGAGCTAACCTTGCTGCTGCAGCTTGTATTCTGTGGAGTAAGTTTTCCCAATGATGTTCCAGACGGGCCGGAGGCAGCCAAACAGCCCCTCCAGGAAGCCCCCCGACCCGGGCCCGGCTCTTTGGAAGTGCAGCTTGATATCGTCAGGGTGCCGTGGGTGGCTGGGTCTTCCCTCGCCGCTGTGGTCCACAGGACAGTCTCCCTCTCCCACCTGCTCGTCCATGCCACTCCCACACCCACCGTGCTCACAGGACGCCGGTGAGCCTGCTTCTTCCTGCTCCTGCTCCTGCAGCTGGAGTACACTGTTGTCAAAGTGTCCGCCTTCGCTCCGAGTGGAGTCCACACTGAGGGCCGTGTTTCCTGGGCTGATGCCCCCCAACATGGAGTCCTCATCCTGGCCGGGCGTGTGCAGGGGAACGGGCAGGTTGGTCGGCGGGGCAAGGTCTGTTATAATCTGAGGAGGTAAAGCAGCAGGTGGGGCCAGAGGAGGCTGGGATTGGGCATTGGGAGAGTTGGATTTCTTCATGGCGTCCCCAACCACAGAGAGCTTAAGCTCTTCTTTCAGCTTCCCCACCAAAAGACTGGGGCAGGAGGTCCAGGAAAGCACCTCTGGGGAGCTGCCCATGGTGTCATGCATGTGGATAGGCAGCCAAGTTACAGTGGGAGGTAGGCGTCCTAACGCACTGGTCTCTCTGGATGCTGAAAATCACCTGCAGAATAAAGAGGAAGGAAGAAAAAGGAAATTTTTTATTAATAAAACCCAAAAACACTTTTTACACATAACTAGTTCCACAAACTGAAACTCAATCCTCTAATCTTTTATCACAGATCTGTTGAGACAGAGTAGATGGTTATTATTTCAGGTGACAAAGTCTAAACGTGACAGAGTGGGAAACTCTAGAGAGAGAATAAATCTGTACATGAAAGACAGGAGAGAAAATACAAATAATACCATCCAGGGAAACTTTTGGCAAGCAGCTAGATCAAACCAGCTGCACACAAACACAGATGACACTGGGACTTTACGAGGATCGCTGTGACCGACCAGTAATGACACAGGAACCATTAAAGGTTGGGAGCAAAGACATCTGGCACACATGCCTCCTTTGCCCTGCTTAACCAGCTGTGCTGACCAGAGCTACTGAGGTACCAGAACCACACAAAAAACTGCAGGACTGAAGCAAAACCAGAACTTTACACAATGAGCTTCACCAAACAGCCTTTCTGGATCTTTAAAAAAAAAAAAAAATGTTTAAAGATAGAAATCACAGGAAGTAACTGAACTAATAAAACTGGCAACAGAGCTTTCTTCAGTGCATGTTGAAATTGATTTGTCTAAAATAAAGTACCATCCATCTGCTCTATTCTCAGAAGTTTTTTTTCCAAATGCAGCTGGTTCGGCTTATTCAATGAGTTTTTCACACAAATTTATTTAATTTCTTTTTTGTTTTGGGCACATTTGTATTTGACTCCTAAGGACATGTCTAAAGAAGAAATTAATTAATTATAAAAAAAAAATGAAAGAAGCATTCTTTAGAATAAATAGTGAACAGAAGAAGAGACAGATTTAACTATAAAATGACATCCAGATGGACTGAAAAGTTATCCAAACCAGTATGACCTTGTGTGGTAAGAACATTCCCCTAGATCTAATAACTGGTTGTACCAAAAGCTGCCATAACTGGATACAAGCCTTTTATATTGCTGGAGGGTTTTCAAGCAGGAACTGCCTGTTTAAAGTCATGCCACAGCATCACTGAAGGATCTAAGGGTTGTAGTGAAAGGTGGAGTTGCTGTTGTGCTTTGGATTATTGTCCCGTTACTTAACCATAAGTGTATTTGCGGTTACAAACTGCTGGCTGGACATTCTCCTTTAGGATTTTCAGGCATAAAACAAAATTCAAAGCAAGTCGTTGATGTCTTGGAGGATTGAAGTAGCCCCTGACCATCACACCATCACCACCATGTCTAACCAAATGTGATGTTTTCATGCAGAAATGGCGTATTAGCTAAACAGCAGATATAATGAGACACATACTATTTTTCCAAGTCTTGAGGAACATTGATATGGCACACTATGATTATCTTATTTCACTTGTTTTGTAATTTCAACTATTGTACAGGCACAAATAAAATGTTTCAAATAGTAGCTCAACAAGACATGGTTTGTTTAAAATAAGTAACTGTCACACTGTGAAAGAAAAAAAAATCCAAAACCACACTGAATTAACAATAATGTGAAGCAAAATGCAAATGACACAGTTTGCATTCTTTGTGCTCTTTAACTTAGTGACCTCAGGCCTGATTCATTTGTGAGATTTTATGTGTCTTTTTATTCCCAACACTGCCTCAAGGAGCTGCCAAAAGTGAAAACGCTCAAATGTTATTTTCACGCTGTGGTTTTTAACTTGCTGTAAACTGTGGGTGGCACATACTGAGTTTTTAGCTTGATTTTTACACAAAATAAGAAAAAATGTGTAACTTAATTACAGTTTGAACAGGCAGCAGAAAACAGTGGAGAGTGTACAAATCAGATAAGACAAACAAGAGATGAAAGGTTTTAGGGAGGAGAAGAAGCTCCAAAGTGGCATTCAAGACACATATTGTCCAATCAAAACTCTTCTGGAAAGCAGCTTTAATTTCTAACCCATAAATTCACTCCTTAGCCTTCAGCAACATTTTTACACGATTGGCTGGAAAAATGAGACGGTGACACAAAAACGGAAAAAGAAGAACTTGTAATAAAAGGTCGTCAAATGAAAGAAATTAGAGATATATGAAACCATTTAAAGTGAAACTGTATTTTCCATGAAATGAGCCCAAGAGAGAGTAAGACATCCAGTAAACAAAAGGAAGGCTAAACAGAGAACAGTAAAGTTTAAAATTATTTTTAACTTCCAGCTTCTGTGTCTCTTGGAACATTTTATGTTTTGGAAATTTTGGCATATGTTAGAAAAAAAAAAAAAAACTTCATTGATCCCAGAGGGACATTATGTAAGATAAATACGGTAGATCGGGAAGCCAATCCTGTAGGGGACACTGTTGGTGGCCACCGTTTTGCAATACTAGCAGTGCTAATTATTAATATAAGATGCTAAAAACTATTTTAAAAAAACAGTTTAATAGTTATTGATTTTCCACAAACATTATATGACGATATCAATTATTAATGAACTAATCATTATTATCCCTTTCTGTCAGGAGTACAAAAAAACATGACATGGATACTGTTCTGGTATCTTTTACAGCAGATCTCCAAGAATTGATTCAATCCAGTAATAGCAGCTCAATTGCACTTCAGAAACTGACCACAAAATTCTGATCAATACATTTTTAAAAGGACTAAAAATAGACAGGTAAAGCTAATCCATTAAATGATACTGGGCTTTAAACCTCTGTTATTTTTTTTTCTAATTTGCTTTCAACAACCAAACTTTAAATTGTTTTAATCAACTGTTATTAAAAACTTTCTAAAAGTCTAAAGAAATAGTTGAAAAGACATTGAGAAAGCCTAAATAACCAATAATTGAGTCTATTTTAAAGGAACCCATGAAATACTGACTGCAGGAGGCAAAATATTAACTAATGAAGAACAACAAAAGATGTCTGCCCAAAACTGTAGCTGCTGTTTGCATGTTTGTGAAAATCCATGTAGTATATCTCTGTGTATCCACTGGGGGTAACCTGAGCGCTGTGAGAGTGTGGCAGCTGCCAGCAGCTCATCTATAATGCAGGCGTTTGCCTAAGCACGCTGCTGAGAGTGCAGGGGAAGGAGAGAACGCTCTCTCAGGTATCCAATAAATCCCTCCCTTCCAAAGCAGAGACAAGCGAGCCGTGTGAATTGAGGGCCGGTGGTGTAATTCCACCTCGCAGCATCAGAAGGCATCAGAGCTGGCCTTCTGATGCTGACCCTGAAGTGGGTGGATGTGGTTGGCTGGGCAGAGGCATAAAGACATACTGCAACCTCTGTAGCTGAACTGAAACTCTACAATTATCCTGGCTGATTAATGACCACAGAGCGCAGGTGCCTTCCAACCTTTTATGTCTGTTTCCTGACACCAAGAGGAGGAAAGAAACCTCTTGCTCCCGTTCATCAATCTCTAATGGAAGCCCTCTGAGCCTGATGGAGAGCAGACAGACGGTTTCGTTTACATAGTCATTTATTTACAGGACTTTCCAAAAGACTTAGTGACCAAGAACAAGGACACATCAGCTGCACCTCTGATGATAAAAAAAAAAGAGTTTTAAAAAAAGATGGATATTGGTTCAGAGGAGGACACAATGCACATCCTAAGCAGGATGAATATTATAGAGAATGAGCCGGATGGGGAGGGACGTAGGGGGGAGAAATTATCAGGAGCTGATCCTTTAATCCGCCCACAGGGCTGCAGCTTGAACAAACACACATCCAGATATGTTTTAGTTATTATTTATATACATTTTTTCCCCATGAACTCTCTTCTTCATGGTGGGCATATTTTTAATTAGAGATACACTTAACTCAAGGGAGCTGCAGTTATTGTATCCTTCATTATGCATGTGTGTGTGTAGAGCATTTGGTGATGGTGCTGGGGAGGGGATCAGGTTCACACACACATGCCCTGGGCGTGTCTGGCAAGATCCAATAATCCCACTACTCCCAGCTACCCACCGGGGAAGGCAGCTCATGTTTTAGCAACAACGCTCAGCAAACGCCTGCGTGTCTGTTGTATCTTTACAAACAGCAGCTGAAACCGCCATCAAGTATCAACACAAGAGTGGATACTTCACATCAACAGATGTAATGTTTGTCCTGGTATCCGAGTGGGCAGCAGCCATCTCATCTGCGTTTCCGTCCTCATTAACAGGAGCCCTGCTGGGAGGCACCCAGGGGGAGAACCTCCTTTCAGGTGACAGCTGCGCCTTCAACAAAGAACCAATTTAGCCTCCCATCCCACCTCATCATTCACGTGTTACCATGTCGACACTACATCCATCCCAACCCTATGCTGGCAGTCACTCTCGATCCCATTCAGCTCTCTGGTTTGAAGAGGCTGAAGGCCACATTCACGGAGTCGACAAAAGACAGAGTAGAGAAAAATTTTACTTGAAAAACAGCAATGTGACTTCTTGAGTGAAACATGCAACATTTGTTTGGGATTTATCTGCTTATTAGACTTTAAAAAACAAAAGCAAAATGTATAAATATAACAGTATTTTGATATTGAGCAGTCAACTTCAAATATTAACATCTTCTAAATTTTTGGAATATTTTTTAAACACAGCTTTCAATATCTTTTATTAGGGTTTTGATAGAACAATATGAAGGAGTATGTAATTGTAAAGTATGGAAGAATACAGTTTCAACATAAATCTAACAAGCGTGGCTTGAATTCATATTCAGGGTTATTTAGTCCAGTTTTCTTCATCTACAATCCAGTGCCGTCAAAGTATAAGTGGGCAATAACAAGTTAGAAAATTATTGCAATAAATTGTGATACTAAGGTGATAATTTCTAACATTATTACTAATAAACTATTTATTACTTCTTTTTAAGGTAACTGTATGGCTGTGAGTTCATGGAGCAGCATTTATAGTCTCACAAATCCAAATCCTATTTTTGAAAAACATTCCCATTTCAAATAGTCTTCTTCAGGACACTACTTACTTAAGGAAATGTTATTTATATCACTAAACTGCAAACAAGAACTGCATTTAATCGTATATTCAA